ATGTTGTGCATGGAGTGTTTGCATAAAATCACATTAATTTATCATGTTTAAGCAATAAATTGAAGTGATAATAGATACATTCATTAATCATAATTAGTACAAAAGGTACATATATAGATTAGACTTGATTTAAATTAATCTATAATGTTAATGGTTTTAGGGTCGTGTATCGCCCGATTCGGTTTTAAAGTTTATCGATTTGATTTATTGGTTATCGGTTTGTAAGGATGCTAAACCGTTATAGAATCATTAAGATACTGACTTTTATGTTATTGGTTTATCGGTTCGGTTTAGTTACGTTTTAATCTATAAGATTTGACACAAAAAATCATTGAAAATCACTTAGAAACAAGGTGACAAACCAAATAAACTACGCACATGAGTTCACAAGTTACATTTTGTTCAACCAAAAATAAAAGTAGGAAATCAAACTCTAAGTCAAGAACTTTATATACAAAATGGTATAAACATAATAAAAAAGCAAAGGACACAAATCACATACTTTTAAGGCAAAATTACCATTTGTCCCTTATAAGTTTATAATTACATAAATCTCTCAAACTGATACAAAAATATAAGTGTTGATACATTACTGTGATGCGCGACATACATTAATCGTTAAGTAAGATACATTACATTTTATACATGATACACTAATCTGATACATTAATCGTTAAGTAAGATACATTACATTTTATACATGATACATTAATCTGATGTGTGAGATACACTAATCTGATGCGGGAGATACATTATTTTGATGCGCTAATACATTAATCTGATGCGTGAAAATAAGAGATTTTTGGAATTTGTAAAACTAATAGGGGATAATGGTAATAAGAGAACTTAAAGGTGGGATTTCCGTCATTTTTTCATTATTTAAATTTACTATGGGATTAATTATCGATTACCCCGTTAAGAAGAATTTTAAGCCGTTAAGAATCAATAACCCGATAACAAAAAAATTATAAACATTATTAAAACCACTAACAATAACTTAAAACTGATAAACCAATAACTTTTTTTATTCGAATTATCAATTTCGATTCGATTTTGAACCTTCTAGCTTGCTGACTCAAAGACATGGTAGTGCCTTTGAAAATTCTTAAGCAGTCGTTTGGTATATATAGGATGTGATAAACAAAAATATTCCACGGTAGTCCTAATAGTTACAACGTGTGAATTGTTGAGTGTTTCTTGTTTACACGGTTTCTTCTTAATTTTCTTTCTACAATATGTAATCTATCTTCTTCTTCTTCTTTCTTTTCTACTCCTCTGTTAGTTTAGTCCAGAAACAGAGCATTCTTCTTCTTTTGCAGCACTCACATTTGACGAAGATTTTTATATTGATTTTATAGATCTATGGAGTTAAGAGTTGTCGATTGTTGATACTAACTCAAATCTTACAATTTTTTTTATCTGACAATGCACTTTCACTTTCTTTTGTACACTAGTCCTTTACTTTGTGGTTTAGAAGTACTACTTTTTTATAAAAATATTTTCGTATACATTATTTGGAAAAAACATCCGATTAATGGTGGGAGAATTTTTGCGTATGGTCACTCAAAAATAAGTTAATTATGTTTTATAGCTATAGTTTGCTAATCACGATTTGTAGTTACACGTTAGAGGGAGAAAAGAGGCTAGTGAGAGAGGATGGAGAGAGGCGAGCGAGATTGGGATAGGGAGGAGAGAGATGAGTGAGAATACATATGCATTTGTATATCTGGCGAGCTAGAGTGAGAGAGGGAGGAGAGAGGCAACAGATATTGGGAGAACGAGGAGAGAGGGTAGAGAATGAAGAGTATATATATATATATATATATATATATATATATATATATATATATATATATATATATATATATATAT